TTCACCGTCACAGGACGCCAGAGGGTTAAACCGTGCATGCAGGATCCACGGCACACAGGACATGGAACACGTCAAAGGACCATCTGGAGGGACCTCCAGGAGGCAATGTAAGTGTGGAGAAAGTGAGAGCAGGACAAGATTTATCTAAGGGGGAAGGTAAGAACAAACGTACATATTTGCTTCTACGAAAGAGTCAGGGAAGGATAAACTGCAAAATCAAAAGACACCTGGTTGTCCAGAGAGAAGGAACGAAGGTGTACAGTAAGACAAACTCCATTTCTCTGAATATACCCTGACTTTGCAACCACGTAAATAGTTTTAGGGGCACCTGGGTGGCTCAGTCGGTTGAACATTTGACTTCAGCTCAGGTCATGATCCCAGGATTCCGGGGATCGAGCCCCATGTCGGGCACCCTGCTCAACGGGGGGCCTGCTTCTCCCTCTCCCTCTGCCCCACCCCCTTGCTCATGCGTGCACTCTCTCTCTAATAAAAATTTGAAAAAAAAATTAAAAGAAAGAACTCTTTACAATACGTGTCAATAGGACGAAATGACATCGTGCACCTCCTGACGGATGCACTGAGGCTATAGAATCACTCCTGTGATGCTCCTTACCTGATCTCCCCATGGGGACATCAGACACATCCAAACCGAGGGACCTGCACTCTTGGAGAATGTCAACATCCCTGCTCGGTGACAGGAGCCTGAGGACACAGGACACCTGCATGTAACGTGTGACCGGGGACCTTCTGCTAGAAATTCCAGGACATGACTGCATGTGTTGCAGTCTCAGGTTAGATAACTGTCTGGCATCCCCATTCATTCCAGAGAGTGATACCTGGACTGTTAGGTGAGAGAATATGCTCGCTTCTCAGGAAATACACAGAAGCAGTTGGAGCCCAAGGGACATTGTGTCCGCAGAGACCACAAACAGGGTCAGAAAATAAAACACATAGGTGGACAGAAGGAAGGATACAAGACCGACAGGCAGACAAACATGGTAAGATGCTATCTTTGGGAACACTCTAGCTGAAAACTAGCTTTGTATTCTTCTTGGCACCTTCCTGTGAATCTGAAATTGGGTCAAAAGAAAAAGTGAACCGGAAACAGAAGTGATCTCTCAAGATCTCAAGCGACAAGGAACACACGCAGCAAGTCTGTATTGAGTTGGTGACGTAGCCGCGAAGGGGAAAACGCATAGTCATGTCACCGTACGACCCTCGTGGGATCGGTTCCCCCGAGCGCAGAGGAACCAGCAAACACAGAGGGGCCGTGCGGGGGCCGCATCCCAAGGCCGCTGCGTGTGTGACCTGGGGATAAAACAAACAAGGCCTTGCCCATGTCGCTCGTGAGAACCAGGATGGGCAGCAGGGAGACTCAGAGAACAGTCTGATGAGGTCAGGTGAAGCCCTCGGGGTTTGAGAGCAGGGGGCTCGAAGAGAAAACGCACGCCGTTGCTCACAGCAGCCACACGAGGGCCCGCTGCTGGATGGACAGACAGACACAGTGTGGCCCATCCGCACAGCGGAAGGAAGGAGATGCTCACATCTGCCATGAGCTGATGAACCCGGAGGACACTGTGCTCTGTGAGGCCAACCCAACACAAAAACACAAATACCATAAGGTTCCACTTACACGAGGCCCCTGGAGGAGTAAGATTCACGGAGACGGATGGTGGCACCAGGGGAGGGGGACCTGTGGTTTCACAGGAACAGGGTTTCAGCTTCATGAGCAGCCACATGGTGGTGACGGCGTCACAACACCGTGAACGGGTCAACACCACTGAAGGGCACACACCAAAATGGTTAAGATGGCAAGTTTTAGATCATCCGTATACTTTATCATTATTAAAAAACAAAAACCCCATGGTCTTGGATGTGAATTCAAACTATCTGAATGAACTCGGGATGCCCCACCTCTGCCCACTGGAAAGGTCTAGAAACACTGACAGCAGTGAGTACCCCCAGAATCCTTATTTACCTTCTAAAAACCACTTTCGACCAACAGGAGCCAGGGGAAATGGCTAATTCCAGGACAGGGGCAGGAAATGTTTAAGAGGAGCCTGGGCGGAGGGGGACCTGGGTGGCTCAGTTGGTTGAGCACTGGACTCCTGATTTCGGCTCAGGTCATGATCTCAGGGTCCTGCGATGCAGCCCTGCATCGGGCTCCGCACTCAACAGGGAGTCTGCTTGGGATTCTCTCCCTTTGCCCCTCCCCCACCTCCACATGCACGCTCTCTCTCTCCCCAATAAATAAATCTTAAAAAAAAAAAAAAAGGAAGAAGAGCCCAGAGTGTCTTGTCACACCAGAAAGCAAGGGATTGCTCACAGAGGACTGGCTCATGTCGAAGGGATTCAGAAGCAAACTGGAGGAGGCCCCCGCCGCCCAGAAGTGGGTCTACCTGAGCACCAAGAGGGCAGTGGCCACAGCGACTAAGACACATCAGCTATGTTCAAGGCCACGATCTCATGATGACACCAAAAAGCTCAGCACCCTCACTGGTCACCTTTGGAGGATGCTGAGTAGGGAATCGGCTCCTGATTTTGGAAACCGGACAATAAAGGGAAAAATTCAAGCCTGTATCCTGCCTCTGCTCTAGGAGTCATCCCTCGAGCAACCAAGTAGTTAGGTTTTCAGAAACAGGTCAGTGAGCAAATGGAGGGGTGGGAAATTATCGTTCTGTAACCTCCAGCGGGATGACGGATCGAAGCCACGTGACCACGGACGGACACAACCGCAGGGAAGCCACCACCGAGGGAGTCCTCCCAGAGAGCGCTCCATGGGGAGCCCATGGGATCGCCCCGAACAAGGTCTGGGGTGGAGCTGCCCCCAGAGCAGGCCTGGTTTCCTCCACAAAGAGCAAGGGACGCAGAGAACCAGCACCAGCCACTCAACATGGGACCTTGGGGCCTACTCCGGGAGTTGCAAAAAAAAAGGAGACAATTGGGGAAATCTGAGCTCGGGCTGGAGGTCTGAAGATTAGAAAGGACAACTTGATGTTTTCAGCTGTGATATCAGACGCGTGGCGTTCATTTTTAAAACACCACAAGCTGCCAACTGAAAAGTACAGATGAAGGACAGGAGGCTGGCAGGACTGGCTTCCCAAGCCGGGGTGGTGGGGGCCACCTGCCCGCCGCCGGCTGCCTCTTGCCGAAGCTGAACGTGAGCATGTGAGATACTCTGCTTCTATATCTGCTTGAAATGTTCCACAGTTTAAAAGAATGCCCGTCACTGCCACTTGACTGCACCTTATGCTTCTACGACATGAGCTGCCCAAAAGTAAACGAGATGCTCCTTTGGCAAAACACCGAGGACAGACCATGAGGACGGACCGAGGACACCAGCCGCGCAGCGCCTTGAGGGGGGTGGATGCAGAAAGGGTCGGCCCAGAGAGGCGTCCCTGTGGGTCCCAGCCATCCTGCCTGCCCAGCTGCCTGGTCGGTAGGTGCATCCCACCTGCCCCGCCTCTGCCAGGTAACCCCTGCTCCCGGGGGCCTGCTGCTCCCCTCCCCGGCTGGGGCTCCCAAGTCAGACATGGACGGCACTTGGCTCTGCTGCTTCATCAAGCCCCCGTGAAACCACCTGTATTTGGCCACTTGATCCACAAAGGCAACTGCACGAGGCTCCACCAGCCGATGCCTGGGGCAGGGTCTGTCCAGCTCTGTCCGGACTGGCCAGGGAACCAGTGGGGCAGCCTGCCCCTCCGTTCATGCAGAGCCTCCCTGCGGGACCTCAGCACAGGCCAAGGTCACAGGCACCAGGTCACCAGGACCTAATCAGGCGGGCCCATCACCACCCGTAGCCCCGGGCTGACCCAGCCTGGCCCTGCCTGTCTGAGCCGCCCGGCGACAACCTTGGACTCTGAGGGGAGACCGAGTCGTTCCGCAGCTCTGTCCTCAGAACCATGGGTGCTCCAGCCCGGCTGGAAGAGGGAAGACACCACACCTGCACACACACAGTTGACGATCTTGTACACACGTACGTGCACACACACTTGTGCCAAGGGAGCGTGGACAGGCTAGAGGAATTCTGAGGGAAGGCAAGGCTGCAGCCCCCGGGTGGCAGGACACTGTGCAGAAATGCTGGGACAGCCAGGTCCCCTGCTTCCAGGAGAAAAAGGCAGGGCCAGGCCCCAAGGCTCCCCACCACGGCGCAGACACCCGCTGTCACGTGCAGGCGAGGGGCCCCACGTAGCTGCAGAGCTGGGGGGCCCACGGCTGGAGCCCCGAAAACCCCCAGTGTGTGGACGAGGGGGGCGGCGCCCATAGGGACATGGAGGGAGTGGTGTCTGTGGGCCAGCAGACGCAAGGGAAGGAAAGCAGAGGGGGGGACCTGCCTGCGGGCCCTTCCTCCTGGCCCGGCAGCTCCAGGCCGGCTCTGGGCGCGCGGGCGCCACGGCAATCTGCCTGCTCTAAACCCCCTCCCAGCCAGGGGGCTGTCCCTGCGCGGGGGCCCTCACCCGAGCCCTGTGGCTCCGGTCTGGAGAGCAGGACAGAGGGTGGTGAGAGAGCCAAGGCAGGAGTCAGATGAGATCATCTCCACGAGGAGCTGGCAGACGCCCCCACAGCAGTCTCTCCCATTTGCACCCAAGAGGCCAAAACCACAGCGGCAGGGAATGGCCCACATACCAACGCGGACGGCCACCCAATGAGGAACCCCTTGGGCTCATCCTCCCTCCTTGATGCGAAACTAAACAGAACACGGTATGAAAGCCAACTGCCGGAAATGCAACACCCCAGATCCGTCAGAAGCAGCAAAATCCCTGCCTCCCTGGGACATCCTCCCTTACCCCAGAGTAAAGACCTGTGGCGCGCGGACGAGAGCGCTGGTCTTGGTGGAGCAGCACAGGGAGCTTCCGCTGGGGACGTCACACGGGGGGCCACACGTGTCCCCAGCACGAGCGAGCCCGGTGACAGCAGGCACGGGGCTTCACCAGCCCCAACACCCTGCTGCACGTCTGCAGGACTGCATTCCCTCCGTCACCCCACCCAGGGGTACTCACGTAAGAAGTGTTTTTCCAATAAGGCGATTTCCAGGTGACCTTTGATCTCATTTAATCGATCAAACTCTGTCCGGTTAAAGTCCTGGACTCCTGCAGCCATGATGAGGGTCCCCGGACCAGCCTACAAGAGAAACACCAAGAGCTCAGAGGAGCCACCTCCAAGCACCCCACTTCTCAGAGGCGAGCCCTGAGGACCCCTCCTCGGCAAGGGCTGGGCCAACAGAGCCCCTGCTGGGCAAGGAAGGTGTCGTTCTGCCGAAGCCCGCATCAGTTCACCTCGGCCTCACCTGCCGCTGGAAGGGACATCTCGGACAACGTGGACATCCCTGGAGCCCAGCGAGGTCAGCTTTTAGAAATGATTAAAAAACATTAAAGCCAGAAGCGTGACGCTAAGCCTCTTGATAGTCACGCCAGTCTCAGGCTGCGGAGGGAAGGCAACCATCCAAACCTGCGCTGGCCTCCCAGGAGGAGGGTGAGCCCAGCTGCAGGCCCTGCCCCCCTCGCAGCCCGGAGCTGGACTGACAGGATGCAAGGTGGCTGGGGAGGGCATGTCCGCAGGCCAGGCTGCGTAAATCTGAAGGAACAGTGGCTCCCTGACATGAGCAAACTCCAAACGGGGCCTGTCCTGTTGCACAGAGGACTAAGTAAAACCACCGCCTAACGTCCGAGGGGTGCAGGGCAGGCTCCGGTCACCGCTGCCCGCTGCCGCCCGCCCAGGGCCTTGGCACAGGCGGCCGCTTGCATCCGGCCGACGGGAGGGGAAGGGGTGCGGCACAGGTCAGCACCACCACGCCTGCCCAGGCGCACACACTGGACACTCCCACGGCCACCCACAGCTGCACGCTCATGCTGAGCTAGCGAGAAGCAGCACCTGTGTGCCTCCCCAAGCGACGAGGGGGATCCGACTTCCAGTCTGGGTTTCCATGACCCCCCTGCAGGCCAGGTGAGGGGAGAAGGGGACACACAGCCCGGAGAGGGTGCAGGACAGACCCCTGCATATACACGTGTCGCCTGCTCTGAGGCCACATCTCAGGAAGGAGGAGCAGACGTCCAGGAGCCAGCAGGTTCTGGGAAGACCCCCTGGCCTGTGGCTGCCCGGACCCTTGCCCTGTTGGACTCTGAGCTCCTCTGGCCGCTGGGGCGAGTTCCCATGTTTCCCTGCAGCCCTGGGGGTCAGGCAGCAGTGGGCACAGGGACTGGGGGAGTGGGGTGGAAGGCAGGCAAATTCTACCTGCCCTGCCACGGGGCAGATGGCACATGCTAGACCCATCCCCCCTGCGCACGAACTCATCCCTCCCCTGCCCGTCCCCCACCTTGACAACCAAGGCGGTGGCCACACGGCAGAGGGTGGAGACTGGCCAGGAAAAGCGGCTCTGCACGGACGTGGAAGCAGAACACTCAACCTCCGTTACAACTGCCAACTCCTCCCCGAAAGCGGGCAGGACGCCCCCCATTCACGGGGCCACGTCCAAATTCATGAGTCCAAGCCCTCGGAGGCTGTAATGCACATCAGTCTCTAGGACGCTGGAACGAAGTCCATCTGGAACTTGCCCCAGAGCATCAAGTATCCCCGCAGGGTCCCCCTGGATGGGGGTTCAGGGTTCTGGGTGCTCGGTGCTGAAGGCAGCTCTGAGCCAGAGCCCCGTGGACCGCAGGGAGGAGAAGGGGCTGCTCCAGGGAGCTGACCAGCTGGCAGGGAGCACCGATGGGGATGGCGGGCCCCAGGGGCGGCACTCGGGAATTCTGAGGTGTGAGCCCCTCGGGTCCCTTCAGCTGAGCAAACCCCCAAGGCCGCAGCATCACCACCATAAAGCCAGGGAAGTGGGCTGGGCCACTTCTCCTTCCAGCTCCCTTAGAATGGTGGCCTCCAACTCCCTACCTCCTGGGCTCCCCTGCACCCCCTCAGGGCAGGACCTCCTGCTCCTAGAAGAGTCTGCCCCTTGGCCTCCCGTGCGCGGGGTCACTTGTCTGTCCCCAGCTCTAGGGCTCTGGTACCCTCCCCGTCATACCTCTCCTCACTGGCCTGTCACTGACCCACCCGGTCGGCCCTGGCCTCAGTCCCTGTCCTCATCTGCAGCGGCCCTCCCCCCCCAGCCACACCCTGAAGCTGGATATCACCCCAACTGCTGCACGCTCTCCCCACACATCCCACTGTCTTGGGCCTCCTCAAGCCCGTCTGCCAGCCCAGGACCCCTCCCCTGCCCACGCCCTTCCCCTCCACCCCTGCGCCCACTCATCTCTGCCCAGGACCCAGAGACCAGCCAGGCACGAACCAACAGGTACTACAGGATTCTCTTGCAGGTCGCTGGGCCAGTCGGTCCACAGAGACGGAAAGTAGATGTGGGCGCCAGGGGCTGGGGGACGGTGTGGGGGTCAGTGTTTAATGGAGAAGGGGCTTCCGCTTGCGGTGAGGACGATGTTCTAGAGACAGATGGGGTGACGGTCGCACGACACTGTGAATGCACTTAATGCCCTGTACACGTACCAGTGGCCAAAACGGTGAGTTTTAGCTATATTTTACCGCAACAAACAAGAAATAAAGTAAAAAGAACCCAAAGCCTAAGCACAAAGATGACCAGCCTCCCTCACAGGAAAAGCCAGGAATCAGAGCCATGCTCTCCACCCGCTGGGCCGGCAGAGCAGAAAGCCGTGAGACGACACCCCGGGCCGTGACAGGGTGGGCAGGCGACCTGGTAACAGCCACCAGGACAACAGACAGCACGGGCCCAGCACGCCCACCCCAGGGATGTGGGCCAGGGGAGAGGGTCCCTCAGTGGGGAGTGGTCAACGCATCGACGGCACATTCCAGTGCCACCATCACTCAGGCCTCCCTGCAGCCTCAGACCCGACCTCAGTGGGGCACGGGCCCGGCCCTGCAGACCCTCTGGACCTTCGGCCGCCATCCCCACGCCGGGGGCTGCGCTCCAGGGCAAGTCCAGGTCTCTACTGAGACAGCACCCACAGCAAAGTGGCTGCCGCGGAGTCCTAGACGGATGGACAGACAGAGCATGGGGCCAGACGAGTCCACTGCAGGATCTCTGTCACACCCCGCAGTGAGCTCAGACCCCCACGTGGGGATTCACGCTCCTGAGAGGCCATGGCACACTCGGCCCAAGGACCGCCACGGAGAACCGCGGCTCATGGTGCCCCAGGCTGCCGCCGGCCCCCGGCGCTCTGCAACACACCGTGCCCTGGGAGACCCAGCAGCAGGGCCCCGGCCCCCCACGGACCCCGAGGCTGGGGGACCAGCCCACCTACACGGGGACAGCGGCCAACACCTGATCAGGCAGCCTGGCTCCCAGGAGGCAGTGCCAGTAAATTATTCATTCCTGCCAAGAGCAAACTCGTAGTCCCTGTTCTAAGGCATTAATAATATAAGAAACCAGAGCAGACGAGCGCTCACAGGCCACACCGGGGAAGAAAAGCTGGCTCGGGTGCTCAGAGAGGAAACCAACGGACCACCGACTTAGGTCATCCACACCAGGTAAGATGGCTCTGGGCTTCTTCACTGGCAAAGGGGAACCCTCGGGCAGCTGTGCCCACAATGGTGAGCCTTGCAATCACATCTGGCCAGAGAGCCTGCCCCGCCCCAGCCCCACTCCCGGCTGAAGAGGCACAAGCTTCCGGAAGACAGGGCCCACTCAAGCCCAGTTCCCGCCACAGCCACGCTGCCTAGCTGAGGTGCTCAATGGATATTTGGTGCCCCGTTAAAGAGAGCCCTGCAGACCAGCCCACAGGGGCCAGCTCTGTCTCCACATGGCACGATGAGGGCCCAGCCCGGCCTCAGCCAGCTGCCGAGGGCTCTGTGCATGACTCCCCCATGAGAAGTTTGCCAACCACCCAGGAAGCCAATGAGGAAGGAAAAGAAATCCAGTGGCTGGACAGACCCGTGGTAAAGGCAAGGCTCTGTGATCCTCGATCAGGGGGACGAGCACCTGCCAGTGAGGTCCAGTGGGGAGCAAGACAAGGACAGAGGGGAAGCCGGACCAGGCAGGACAGGGCTCAGCTTGACCATCTGAGGATGGGGGATGGCCCCTCGCCCACCCGGGGCTGAGGCCAAACAGAGGAGGAGGACATTCCCGCTGCTGAGGCCCGCACGGCATACTCACAGGGTCCCTCAGCTCCTCACTGTCCCGGGTCGAGGTCCGAGGTATTTTCAGGGGCACTTCATCTCCACATTCGGTGTCTGAGGCATTTGGAGACTCTGCTAGATCGAGGAAGTCATCTCTCTTGTGACCTCTGAACCTGATTTTGTCCAGCCTCCTTAGCATGTTCAGCACTGAGCCCCTCTGCTTTACCTTAACATGACGGTCGGAGTCCCTGCAAGAGAAGAAAAGAAGAGGCTCGGTCACTCGGTCACTCGCCCACTGGCCACCTGTCCCCATGGCGCACCCACCCACCTGAGCACATGGTTCTCCTACACACACTTTGGTCCTGTGGCCGAGCCCTGCCCTCAGGAAGTGGCCAGGCTGGCTTTTCAAGGAAAACTCGGGGCCCACTGGCTCCCACCTGGCACCCATCAGCCTGGGCCCCTCCATCACTCCCACTCGGCTGGCCAAGCTCCTGCCCCTGGCTCCACCAAAGTCACCTCCCCCCATGTGCCCCACAAGGCAGAAGGAAGCCAAGTCAGCAGGATCTTCCCGGCCATAAAGATGGCCAGCCTAGTGCACGGGGAGGCCAGAGAGCCTGGGGAAAGCTAGAGCGGAAAAGCTTCAAAGAAAAGGGGAGGGCGCCTGACCGCTCCTCAGAAGCGCCCTAAGAAGCCAGCCATCAAGGGCGCGGTCCAGGCTGTAGCTACACACACCGTTCAGACAGCAGCAAACACCCAGAAACCGCTGGAATGCTCGGCATTACGGTGTCTCAGTAGATCCCTTCTGAGCCCAGCAGTGCCCTGGCTTCGTGTCCCCTGACTCGGCCTGGTCCCCCTCCCAGGGACACAACCCAGCCTGCTCTGTCTGCCCAAAGCACCTCCCTGCTCACCCGGCCAGCCCTCACTCAGCTTGCTAAGGTCTTGCTCAGAGAGGTCTTCCCACACACAGGCTGGTCAGGAGCCCAGCGCTCGCCCGCCTGCTGGCCCGGCACAGCCCCAGACCACAGGCGCAGAAAGAAGGCTGCCTGCCTGCCCCCTCCAGCCCAAAACCACTGCCACAAAGACCTGGCATGAGTCACAGGGAGGGGAGGACATGTGGGAGCTCAAACACGAATGCTCACCCAGAGATGGACATGTAGTGGGGTGCCCCATATCTCTGCACCAACCTGGCCAGGAGAGGCAAGCCGACCCCCCCAAGCCCCCGGGGCAGAGTATGAGTGGCTCGTCTGCACATCCAGCCAACCTCACTCCGAAGCCTACAGCAGAAACCACAAACTGCAACCCGAGTCCCAGTCACACAGCCCCTGGGCCCAGGGCTGCAAGTCAGGGTCTCCCACAGGCCCCAGCCCCCCAACTTTTACAAGAGGCCCTGGGTCCCTGCAGGAGGGTGGGGACTCTGGACACAACAGGGCTCCAAGCCTTCTCTGCTGCTTACCACCTTTCTGGGCCTTGGCTTCCGCCTCTGAAGGAACACCACCAGTAAAGGCCAGTGTTCTGGAAGCTCCAGATGATGCACACCAGGAGCCGGACGCTGGCCCCAGTAAACACACGCGCATCTCCACGCAAGGCGGGCAGGGAGGGGGCTAAGCAGGATGGAATCCATCAACTCAGCCCTAACTGTCCCAGTTGGGATGTCTCAGGGAGAACCACAAAGTCAGGGAAAAGTACTTCCTGTTTGGGACTGTGCAGTCACAAAAACTCCCGAAGGACTCTTAAATCACGGCCCAGGGTGTCTGCCCACCCTGCGAGGGCCCTCCGCCCCCCTCAGCAAGTTTTCCTGCCCCGAGCAGTGATCCCAACAGTGGGGCTCCTAGGACTCCAGCCAGACGGACCAGAACCCGCTCTGGTCTACGAGAACAGAAGGGTGTGGGGCACGTGGAGGGAGGGGCTAGCAGGGGCTCCTGGGTCAGGTGAATCTCAGAGCTCGCTTGGAGCACTACAAGGTGGCCCGGGGTAGGCCTGGTGGCAAAAACGACAGGACACCCAATGCCCAATGCCCCCAGGACCCAGGAAAGCCCAGAAGTGCATGATGCCGAGAGGGGCTGTGGGGGGCCGGGGGGGCCTTGGGGGGGCTGGGGTGGCCG